CATACAGTCGGTACAGAGGCGAACACCTCCCTTATCAGCCTTAGGCTCGAAAGCACAGAATATAGCCGCCGTTGGCTCCGGAGCGACGTCCGTACCCTCCGTAGGCTACTGACGAACGACCGTATCCACCATAGCCGCTAAGGCCGTTGTTGCCGTAGTAGCCGCCGTGTCCATTATATCCCAGTCCGTAGTTTCCGTAGCCGTTTAAGCTGCGCCCGTAACCACGTCCGGAGCGGCTGTTGCCGCAGAGCCCTGGCTGTAGTTAGCATTATAGCGCAGGTCTTGGTTGTCGTAGCCGCCGAAGCTGTGAGGCCGTCTGCCAAACTCACTCTATGGCAGGTGTTCTTACGTCACTTCCAACATGATAATGTTGCGCCACGGAGGGGAAAACAGTTTGGATGCGTCGCAGATCCATACCACCGTTATGCACTCATATCAACATCTCAAACAACTGCTCCACCACCTCCCGCTGCAGCGCCGCCGGACGATGCCACTGCGCAGGGCGCACAGGGCCGCACTGGGACGGAAACTGCTGCGGGAGATTACTTACTCCCTCTCGAGCTGGCGTGGTAGCTTCGTGTCGCATCCCGCACTTTTGCATAACATTCAGGGAACACTACCAGCAAAAAATCGCCATTTTTCTATGAATCGCTGCTACTGACCGGTGTTTTTAAAGCCTATCCAAGGCCATGTAATAGAGCCTATCATTCTTTTGGCATCAAAGAATTGCTTGATTTGTGGTCGGAAGCCCTCCAGAGAAAACCACATCCATACAACTGCTGCATATGTGCTTATCGAGTGTCCGGTTAGCGCTCACTGGCTGGCACATAGCTGTCCTCTGACGCCTTACACATGCATACATAAGGTTGTAAGAAAAAACCATGAGCAGGGTCATAAATTGTTGTCTGTGATAATCAGCAAAAAAACATATATTTCCATTAAAACAATATCTTTTGGTTTCCTGGGTACTGACGTGTGAAAGGAACGAGAGCCAAAGAACACACACCTTCGGCAGTTAAAACAAACATAAGGAAAAGACAGGAAAAGTGATAGCTTTTCTCTGACTGCAGACAGTGCGACATCGTTCAGGTGGGGCTGGCTTATCAACGACGTATCCTTGGTGTTGCAGGATGGAAACAGTGAGGATGGTCATGGAACACCATGGTGTAGACGTATCGTCAGCAAATTGGCTTCAGGCCGTGTCCGTTGATTAGGCATTTAGTAGTGCCCATAATACGCTCCGTTGCGTCCGCCATACCGGCTGTACGGAGAAGAACGCCTGCCGTAGCCGCCGTAAACTCCGAGGCGCCGATTGTAGCCGTGGTAGGCTCCTGAGCGACGTCCGTACCCTCCGTAGGCTCCTGACGAACGACCGTATCCACCGTAGCCGCCGAGGCCGCTGTTGCCGTAGTAGCCTACGTATCCGTTATATCCCAGTCCGTAGTTTCCGTAGCCGTTCAAGCTGCGCCCGTAAGCGCGTCCGTAGCGGCTGTTGCCATAGTAGCCCTGGCCGTAGTTACCCTTGTACGAGGCCCGGTTGTCGTAGCCGCCGAAGCCGCGAGCCCGCCTGCTGACGCCGCTGCTTAGAAAAGTGTCGGTGCATTAGTTTCGGGATGATGATGTTGCACCACGCAGGGGAAGACAGCCTTGGTGTATGCGATTGGTAGGCCATAGGGCATACCCAGTTATGTGCGTTCTTTGATGGCCTGTCCCAACTGAAAACAATGATCCGTGTCTCGTTCCCACAATGCAGAACTGAGACTGGCCACTGGTATGAAACATGCCACTGGCCCACACATATTGTCCAGTGCATAACCCGACGTTCAATGTTGGTGATCACTTTAGAGGCCGTGCTCAGTGAACATAAACGCCGAACGAAATAACCCTATCCTCGACAAAATGGTATAAAATCGAACCACCTTCAGCTTCGTGGGCATCCTAGCGTAGCGCACGATGGGAAGTACTCGTATCGAATTACCTGCCATACCCTCCCAGAACAGAAGGGTACCCGCTGGCTTGGGTCTCTTGGTCGATCTTCTTGTATTCGGCGGCGGTCGACATAGCTACCAGCGCAGCCAGAAACAAATACAGCTTCATGGCTCTCATCGGGGTAGCTCTGTGAACACTGAAGGAGAGACAGTGATGCCTCCGCCTGGGCTGGTTCTCTATACTCGTGGAAACGGTGGCTGTATGCCAAGGAGATGCGTGACAGGGTTAACCGCACTGATCTGCCCGCTGCAATACTGTGTAGACCTTGTGGTTTGGAAAACAAGCTGGGAGAGCATAGTGATAGTCTTGGTGGAGGTCTGCCTCTCTGCGCTGAACGGTGCATGGCACGGGGCACTTAATACAGAAGTATGGGCCCAGCATCCATGTAAAGAAGCGCAACGCGATTTCAAATAATAATGTCTTATCTCAACATCTGCGTTGAATATATCACACTGAACATATCCGATCTTTGAATTAATTTCCCAGCACAGTTATTTGCGAAAAAGTCACCTCCATACTCCCGTTTTTGTCACATCTCGCCAGAGATATGTGTTCCTGCATAATCCATTGTTTTCATATTGCTTTTTGTGTGAAGCGCTGCGGCACAAGCGTGTAAAATTTCCTTAGTGATATGTGGTTCCTTATAAGCATATGTCAAGTCACGACTCAGAAAGCATGGGAGCTAGAGCCAAATTCGGAGCAGATTTTTTTATTTCGTCGCCATATGGTGTATGTTCACCTTTCTCGAAACTTGTAGTGTCATGGAGCCCACAGTTTCTTTGCTCCACATCCCTGATCCTGCTTCTGTGCTTGCAAGCCGATACGCAGTGTTATCAAGGAGACCGCTTGGAGTGAAAATGCAAGTGAAAAAGGCTGGAGCTCATTAGTTTATGAGAATTGCATCGTCTAAAAAAGATGCAATTCAAGTTGACAGTAGTCATATCATGAACAGGACAGCGAATGTAATTGCTTTCGTACATCTTCGACCATTGCACCGGGACATAATTCATTCAAATACAGTTATTTGCAAGTCTGCCTATCATGGCAACCACTGACAAAATGTTGTTGGAGTCGACATATGTGGCCACTTAAAAAAATGTGTTTCTTTTTCACATCTTAGGCCATCACACTGAAGCATAATACACGATTTTTTAAAAGCATTTTTGCACCGTTACCCAGGAACAGGTAACCAGGAGTGCCTCTTTATTTTGGTTTTCACTTAAGGTTTTTTATGATCTTTTTAGGGTTGGGCATTTCGCTGCCCCCCTTCCCAAACCAAAATTCAGCATCTTTCACATCGTCTAGTGACAGACAGGTTCATCTAACCCACCCACAACATAGATATTTACTATTGTAGCCCACTAACATTCTTAATTAACCTTTGAAATCAGTGGGAGAATTTCTCTGCTGAAAAATAGAGAAACCAATTATGAAGCACCGATTTTCGCTAGCAAAACTTCTGTATTAGCTGCGCCGGGTCTGTCGCAATGCTATGCATGGCAGGACATAACTTTGTGAAGTGTCGAAACTAGAATGGTTTAGATTTACCATTATTTAACCACGCTATGAAGCAAAAATGCAAAATAGAGGTTTGACATTGCAAAATTGCCTGCGAAAACAGCTACCTTGCTTTAAATCGTGTCCTTCATTCGTTACCAATTGCTCAGTCTTCGATCTTTATTAAGCCCGTTTTGTGCGGCTAACGAATTAGGCAAATACTTATGAAATGTTCACGGTTTTGCAGTGGGTAAATTTTTCAAAAAGTTTGGCTAATATTTCAGGCCATAGAAGCATCATCAAGGCTTATACAAAACAAAGGAAAATGCACTTGCTTCACCTTTTGGTGTGGGACGAGGAAAAAGAACGAAAGGTAAAAATCGATAACTAAGTACGAAGGCTTATATTTTTTCTGCCAAGATTGCTATCAACTCATTTTACTAGAAGGGCGTAAAAATAAGCGTTTAACGTTAACATTTGGCTTTCGCATTACACTTAGAAGGCATGTCTTGAGTCTTTCACTTCTACATTTCGGGAAGTTGTCAAATGTCTTCGGGGAAAAATGACGCGGAGTAATATTCTCTACCAGGGTTTGCGTGGTAATTGCGTAGTGTGACCAAACAAATTTCGGCATGCAAGTAAACCTTATATTTGGCACATAGCTGCAAATTATATGTAATGCATTTCGTAAACAAACCAAGACTGATGAACGCGAGCGGCTGGGGTCGCTGGGGCTCTCGGGCTTGTTAAGGCACTTTTGTCCGGGGTTAATTGAGGGGAAGATGTCTTCGTTCACTTTGTTCCGCCATGACCATCCTTCCATCATAGTAAGGCATTGTTGGCGTACTGTGTGCGTACATGCAGCCTAGCATCAGCCAACTCTGGATATCTTGCCCAGCCAGGTACACCTCAGCCGCTCACAGTTGTTATTAAGAAATACCCCCAAATATCCACTATTTCGGTTTATTGTTCAGATTCAGTTTGGAGTGATAGGCAGGTAGGTTACAAAAGCTTACGTTGACGCCAACTTGCTGAATTGGTGACTCAGACATGATGTACACAGGATTCACATGCAGGTCAGGCAGGATGTAGCCATAGATGTCCAGGTTCTGTGGAGCCTTGATTATTCTCGTTGGGTTCTGGTGAGCTAGAGTTTGGATGACTTAAGAACAGCTGAGAAGAAAATGAGGGTGTAGTATGCGCTGCTGGACAACGTCAGATGGGAGCCAAAATTTCAGGTAAAATAGGGGGAAAGAGTGAAAATAATTTGATAAGGCATTGATTTCCACCCGAAGTCGGCAATGCTAGGACGCTGTGTGCGTGTTCCTAACAAGAAGGTGCTATTCGTTCCCGCAAACACAGCATTCATAAAATACCCACCATTCACTCCGTTCCGTCACCCATACAGTCTGTACAGAGAAGAACATCTCCCTTATCAGCCTTAGGCTCGAAAGCACAGAATATAGCCGCCGTAGGCTCCGAAGCGACGTCCGTACCCTCCGTAGGCTCCTAACGAACGACCGTATCCACCATAGCCACCGAGGCCGATGTTGCCGTAGTAGCCACCGCATCCGTTATATCCCAGTCCGTAGTTTCCGTAGCTGTTCAAGCGTCGCCCGTAGCCACGACCGTAGCGGCTGTTGCCGCAGTAGGCCTGGCCGTAGTTACCGTTGTACAGGGCCCGGTCGTAGCCGCCGAAGCTGTGAGCCCGTCTGCTAAGGTCACTCTATGACAGGGGTCCTTACGTCACTTCCAACATGATAATACTGCGCCACGGAGGGGAAAACAGTCTGGGTGCGTCGCAAATCCATACCATCCCTATGCGCTCATATCAAAATCTCAAACAACTGTTCAACAGGCCCCCGCTGCAGCGCCGCCGGACGATGCCGCTACGCAGGGCCGCACTGGGGCGGAAACTGCTGCGGGGAGGTTACTCCGTCTCGAGCTGGCGTGGTAGCTTCGTGTCGCGTCCCCCACTTTTGCATAACACTCAGAGGACATAATCAACAAAAAAAACGCCCATTTTCAATAAATCGCTGCTTGTGACGCGCGTTTCCAAAAGCTATCACTCGTTGGGCACCAAACAGCTGTTTGATTTATGGTCGGGTACCATCCGAAGAAAACAACATCCATACAACTGCTGCACATGTACATTTCGAGTTTAAAACAAACATGAGGAAAAGTCAGGAAAAATGACAGATTTCATCAGACCGCAGACAGTGCGACATCAGTCAGGTGAGGCCAACCTATCGACGACGTATCCTTGGTGTTACAGGATGGAAAGTGGAGATGCTTATATGAACACCATGGGCGTATAGCCAACAAATTGGCTTCAGGCCGTGTCCGTCGATTAGGCATTCAATAGTGGCCATAATACGACCCGCTGCGTCCGCCGTACCGGCTGTAGGGAGAAGAGTGCCTGCCGTAGCCGCCGTAGGCTCCAAGGCGCCGATTGTAGCCCTGGTAGGCTCCTGAGCGATGTCCGTACCCTCCGTAGGCTGCTGACGAACGACCGTATGCACCATAGCCACCGAGGCCGCTGTTGCCGTAGTAGCCACCATATCCGCTATATCCCAGTCCGTAGTTTCCGTAGCCGTTCAAGCTGCGCCCGTAAGCGCGTCCGTAGCGGCTGTTGCCATAGTAGCCCTGGCCGTAGTTACCCTTGTACGAGGCCCGGTTGTCGTAGCCGCCGAAGCCGCGAGCCCGCCTGCTGACGCCGCTGCTTAGAAAAGTGTCGGTGCATTAGTTTCGGGATGATGATGTTGCACCACGCAGGGGAAGACAGCCTTGGTGTATGCGATTGGTAGGCCATAGGGCATACCCAGTTATGTGCGTTCTTTGATGGCCTGTCCCAACTGAAAACAATGATCCGTGTCTCGTTCCCACAATGCAGAACTGAGACTGGCCACTGGTATGAAACATGCCACTGGCCCACACATATTGTCCAGTGCATAACCCGACGTTCAATGTTGGTGATCACTTTAGAGGCCGTGCTCAGTGAACATAAACGCCGAACGAAATAACCCTATCCTCGACAAAATGGTATAAAATCGAACCACCTTCAGCTTCGTGGGCATCCTAGCGTAGCGCACGATGGGAAGTACTCGTATCGAATTACCTGCCATACCCTCCCAGAACAGAAGGGTACCCGCTGGCTTGGGTCTCTTGGTCGATCTTCTTGTATTCGGCGGCGGTCGACATAGCTACCAGCGCAGCCAGAAACAAATACAGCTTCATGGCTCTCATCGGGGTAGCTCTGTGAACACTGAAGGAGAGACAGTGATGCCTCCGCCTGGGCTGGTTCTCTATACTCGTGGAAACGGTGGCTGTATGCCAAGGAGATGCGTGACAGGGTCAACCGCACTGATCTGCCCGCTGCAATACTGTGTAGACCTTGTGGTTTGGAAAGCAAGCTGGGAGAGCATTGTGATAGAATTGGCGGAGGCCGGCTTCTCTGCGCTGAACAGTGCGAGGTTCAGGCCATTTAATACAGAAGTATGGGGAAGTACAGAAGTATATCCATACAAAGAAGTGCAGCGCGATGTCAGACAATAATATCTTACCTCAACATCTGTGTTGAATATATCACGCTGAACATAACCGATCTTTTTTGTTATTTCCCAGCACACTTCTTTGCTGAAAAGACATTGCCAGACGCTCGTTTTTGCCCGATCCCTTTGGTAATATGTGTTGGTGCACTTTCCATGGTTTTTTGTTATTGTTTTTTGTGAAGTGCTGTGGCACGGATTCGTAAAACTCCCTTAGCCTAGCTCCGTTCCTTATAGTCATACGTCAAGGAACGTCCCAGAAAGCGTGGGAGCTAAAACTAATTTCTGAGTTTTTTCATGCGTCGCCATGCTATGGTGTATGCTCACCATTATCGGAGCGCGTGGTATCATGGAACCCACAGTTTCCTTGCTCCACGCCCCTGATCCTGCTTCTTTGTCTGGAGGCCAATAAGTAGCGTCATCAAGTCGACGTCCGTCTTAAGTAGGCAAGCGAACAGGCCAGTTGGGTTAAACAATGCATTTCGATGTCCTTCGCCTTGACGTGCCAAATAAATGCAAGCCAAAAAGCACAAAAAGTCTGCAATCAAAGAGGGCAAAAAGGATTTTCGGGAGGAATGACGAGATCTGCTCTTGAAGAAGTGTGACATCAAACCGCTGGGCCCGGACGTGACGTTTTATGTGTTTTTTGCAGGGTGAAAACAGCGAGTATGGTCAAGGTATCGCCATGTGCGTACAGTGAGCTAGAGCCGCTCTTGAGCTACGGTGCGGAGTGAAATTCTTCACCGCGAAAAGACCACACACTAGTGAAAGTTCAGGTCATAAAATGCGAGAACTCATCAGTCAGGGACAGTTGCCTGGGCCAAAAAGACGTACTTGTCAAGTTGGGAGACATGGAATTCCTCTCTTGAACAGAACAACAAATGTGTTTCTTTTCTCACATATTGGGCGATCACACTGAAGCATAATATATTTTATTTTTTTTAAAGTCTTTATACCGTTTCCCAAGAACAGGTAACCAGGAGTTCCCCTCCCTCTATCCTAGCGACGCAATAAACCGTACGTTAACACCAGAAAATTTAAAATAATGTCGCGGCACTCCCAACTAGGAAGAGGAAACAAACGTAAAGAAGCAGGCGAAGAGGTGGGGAAGACCCGAAGGAATTGTGTTTTGTAAAAGGCAAAGAAAAATCATGCATGAGAAGGCTTGAAGTAGTCATTAGCCAAAGTCAGCTATTGAACGCACGCTATAACCACCCATTAAGCTGCAGCCATTCATTTACAGTGTTGCTAAGAGTCGTACAGTCAAACAAGTCGGAGCGGCAATTACCTTGTCATTTTCGTGCTGGTTTTGCTGTCGTCACAAAACGATTCCATGACTCCATCAAACAAGGACGCAATGGGGCGCATTTTTACAAGCTTCGAAATTTTGCTAGGTAGGGTCGTTTTTGAACCTTAAAAGCTTACTAATAATTGCAAGTAGGGTTTTCGAATGATATCTGATGCTCATCGCGATGTCTTCAAAGGTGGAACATTGCCTTCAACTGGTAATTCTCGTGCTGGGTTTTGAGCTGGATGTCCAGGGAATCCACCCAGCTAAGAGGAGCTTGTTGCTAGAAGAACTCCCGGAGCTAGCGCCATGAATTTGGGTAGATGTGCATGACTTAAACTACATCAGAATGGGATTATAAAGCATGAAGGAGGTCAAATATGAAATGCGTTACATATGTGCAGCGCAAAGGATTGCAACATCTTCGAATATGTTGGTTACGTTAATATGTATTTACGAAATGCTTGCGAATGATGTTCTTAACGATGGTTTTTGATGCAGATATATAAATTATCTTCAGAAACTATGAAACCATGATGTCGTTCAACAGCATAGGGCCAAGGTATGATGTTGTAAAAGTCCATAATTACGATTACAGAAAGGTCGGTCTAAATGTTTTACTCGCCTCATATTCATGTCATTTGATTCGTAGAGCTTGTCTATTAAATCGAATGATGCAGAGAGCTGTGAAGTTACAAATTTGTTCAGCACAATTGACATTTGGGATTTAACGATATCTGATAGTTTCAAAATTGTGTATCGTTTAAAGATTGGCTTGGAGTTTTGTGGATGACACACGTCTTCTATCAGACGCACAGCTTTTTTAAAAAAATGACTGCCGATCTAGTTGAGAAGCATAATTTAGACCCCAAATGAGGCAGCAGCAATTCGAATAGGGAAGTATTTAAGTGTTTCAGAGTAGATGTGACGTTGTTTTATCAATGAAGTACCTAATCCTTCTTATTATTCCAATATTTCCACTTAATATGTTTGCAACAAAACTAATATGGCTTGCAAATTTAAGAGATTCATCACTGAGTACACCAAGGTTTTTGAGTTTTGCTCTTCAAAAGGTGAATCATTGACTTGCATTTTTAGTTGGAAATGCGAAGGAAGGGTAATGCATTACTGTGTAAATTTTGTTCATACCTTCAGGCAGATAAAATTGGCACTTTACCATCAGAACAGAACTAGAACTCATCAGAAGCAAAAGCGTATCGACATTGTTTTGAAGCTTCACAATGCTTTTATTTTTTTAAGCAATCGCAGTATCACCAGCGTAAGAGAGGCAAATCATGTTGCTGTTTAATTGAGGCAAGTCATTTATGTACATTAAGAACGGAGTTGGGCCGAATATTAATCCTTGGGGTAACCTCATTGTTGCGTTTTTGAATGATGATAGACAAGTCCTAATTCTACACATTGAATTCTGCCAGACAAATAAAAAGAAATGATTTCATAGGATTTTCGTCGAATACCATATTCAGTTACTTTACATAGATTAAGATTAATGTTTACAGCGTCCAATGCTTTTTTAAAATCTAAATACAAACCTAGCACATATTCTCAATATTCAAAAGCCTCAGTGATAGTTTCTTGGAGAAGAAGAATTGTTATGTAGGTCCTTTGGTCTTCTGAAAATCGAACTGATTTTGGTGAATTAGGTGGTGTTGGTTTATATGATAGACGAGTCTATTATATCTAAGATTTGTTCGAGAATTTTAGACCTAAACGGCAAATCGCTGATACGTACTTAATTCTTTTAAAATTAAGAGTCCTCACTTTTAAAGATGAACTTAATCACGTGTTTTTTGAAAATGCCTGGAAATGTCCCCGATGATGAACAGCTGTTGAAAAGATGGACAATTGCTTTCAGTATTACCCTATAAGATAACTTGAATATTTTTAAAACAAATTGTCGACTCCAGCTCCGACGTTGTTTAATCCATTAATGACAAGAATTGATTCCGCTTCATTTGTGGGGGGCAGATCCATTTCATTTTCTACATTGGCGATGAGCGGGACATGTTTGAATGTTGATTTAGGAATCTTGTCTTTTAACTTTTGTCCAATCTCAGTGAAGAAGCAATTGAAGAATTTTCCGATAGCCGGATCATCTGTGAGAATTTTGTCATTGACCTCAGTAATCCTCGTTTGATCTGCATCCTTTTTTTAATTATGCGAATGCCTAATGTTTTTTCATATTTCCTTGGAGTTGCCAAAATGTTAAATGGATTCATCACTGTAGCATTTATTTTTGGCTAGCTTAAAAAAGGAAGTAAGATGTTTCGGTAATAACTCACATTTTGTGAAAATAATGCCAAATAGTTAAATAAGTGTATTTTGCAGAAAAATACATCCATTTGCACGTCAGCAAACTATGACAACTGTGGACAAAATCTTGTTGGGGCAGAGATAAGGGCCACTTCAAGAAATTTGGTGCAAACGTTCAAGAAAAATGTGTTAGTTAAATATTTTTGGACATCATAATGTAATGAACAAAACTGGCAGGAAAGTGGACAGAACACCACGAAATCTAGTTATAAATCATGTTTTATCACTAGATTAAGTTAGGAACAAGGTGCCTCAAACGGAAAAAAACACTATCTTCTTAAGGTTGGGCTTCTCTCCTCCTCCCTCTCCCCCCAAGCAAAAGTCAGCATTTTTCACATGGTTTGCTGACATATGGGCTCATCTAACCCACCAACATTGATAATTATTAATCTAATCCACTAGCATTCAAAACCAAACTGTAAAATCAGTAAGGGGAATTCCCCACTGAAAGAAATGGCGAAAACTGTTTTGAAACGGCGAATTTCGATAGTGAAAGTAAAACACTTCTGTATTACCTGCGCCAGTCGCGTCCCAATTCTATGCATGGCAGGATGACACAACTTGGTGCGGTAGCGAAACTGAAAGGGCTTAGATTTGTCGTTATTGCGCCATTCTATGAACTAAAAAGGCAAAATAGAGGTTTACCAATGCAAATTGCCTGCAAAAAATAGTTTGCTTTAAATTGTTTGTTTCATTCGTTTTGAATTTGTCAGTCTTCGGCGTCTTTTAAACCTGTTTTGGCGGCTAACGAATTACGCAAACATTTATGAAATGCTAACGAGTTTGCAGTCGGTTAGTTATGCAGAGAATTTAGTTAGTATTCTAGGTCACAGAAGCATCATCAGGGCTTATACAAAACAAAGGAAAGTTGTGTTTGCTTTACTAGAATGCCTATCAACCCATTCTACTTAAAGGATGCAAAAGTAAGCGTTAAACGGTAAAATTTAGCTATTACATTTCACTTAGAAAGCAGGTCTTGAGATTTTCATTCCTGCATTTCGGGAATGGTGCAATTTAGTAGTCAAATCCCTTTTGGGGAAAAATGACGTGGAGTGACATTGGTTACTAGGCTTTGC